AAAAGAAAAGAAAAAAAAAGTTTATGTGTTCAATTTCTCTACAAAGGAAAAATTATATAAACAAAAACCCTTCTGGGACTTCTAGTGGTGGTTGAACAGTTCTACATGTGGTCACCAGAAAATAAGCCATTCCTCACACCAGTACAGGACGAGCTCTGGCCTCTGTGCGGTAGGAGTGCATCCTGCTGTGTAGCTTAGGATCCCTCTGCCTTGTTTTGGTGGCAGTGAAAACACCTCCTGGCCATGTCTAAGTGTGTCTCACAATGTCTGATTTCTGAATCATGTTCCAGCTGGCATGACCCCGCCACATGGGCCAGCACTCATTTGAGCATAACTGTAAGTTTTTCTCCAGGTCAGTATAATAAAGGAGTGATGTACAATAAAAAAAAAGATTCCAGGTATCTGTAGCCATGAGTTGGCACTGAACATGCATATTGATGGACTGATGTCTGTGTGTACTGGGTTATTTCTGCTTATATAGATTGTAGAGTGCATTAGTTACTCATCTCTCACTGCTGGGACAAATACCCGACACTCATAATGAGGGAAGGAAAGGTTTATTTAACTCACAGTTACTGGAGATTGCAAGACACAGGTGGAGAAGCTGGGGCGCTGCCGTGTCCAGGATGATCCTCTCCACATCTCTGAGAAAGCACAGGCTAGCCGGTTTAACGGTTCGCGCCTCTCTGGCCCCGCCCCCGGGTCCCGCCTTGGTCCTCTGGCCCCGCCCCTCGAGCCCGCCCTGGTCCTCTGGCCCCGCCCCTCAAGCCACTCGTTGCTCCTCCAGCCGCGTCTGCTCCATAACTTACATGAGGCTTTGGAGCGACAACTAGACACAAATCATAACATAGACGGAAAAAGTCACTGTGAAAAGCAAATCATTTCTGCAGTCAAGCTGAATTGTGTGCACAGAGAAGTAATCTATTTAGAGTATTCATACAGAAAAACCCAGTTGTATAGATTTCAGGAAAAAAACCTGATGTCTTTGAAAGTTCATTAATAACATATCTAAGAAGAAATGATAGTGTTTATTTTTTTATTTAAAAATTTTTTTTTATTGTGTGTTTGGTACAGGATCTCAACTATGCAGCTTGGACTCATAGTGATCCTTTTGATTTCAGCCTCTCCAGCGCTGGGATTACAGGCATGAACCACCATGCCCAGACTCAGCGGCAGGTTCAGCGTACCCAGTGTGGGGCCAGCGTGGCATGTGATGCCGGGGATCGAACCTTGATTCCTGTATTTGCCTAAGCAGGCACTTGGTCCACATAGCTATTTCACCAGCCCTTCCATGTTGATTGTTGTGGCTCTTGTCACAGGGAAATATTCCTGACACACAAAGCATAAAAAGTTTGTTTTGGCTCATTTGTGAGACTTCAGTCTTGATTTGACCTCTTCTAACAAAGAAATACTATAGTAAATAGAAATAAAAGATACAGATACTAATTTTAGGAGATCCAGAATCTAGAGAGAAGGCAACAGCCTGAGGGGAAGGGGTCAGGGTCCAGATATGGTCCCTTAGATCGCACTATCGTGTCTCAAGTCACACATACAAGGTGGTGTGCTTTATCAATATCATGTGCACCTTTTTTTTTTTTTTTTTTTTTTTGTGGAACCGGGGATTGAACTCAGACACTTGGGCTTGCCAGGCAAGCGCTTATTCTACTGAGCCATCTCCACGGCCCCTCATCATGTGCATCTTGCAAGTCAAACAAGTTTTCAACACAAATGTATCCCCTGGCTCCATGAAATACTTTCCTAGGAATATTAATGTTGAAAGATGGAGAATTTCAACGTGTGATGAGTCGTGATCCGGCATTGGGAGCTTATAGTCTAAAGTCCTTTTGTATTTGAGACCAGGAAGTGATCATATAGATCAAATATAGGGTTATTTTAGCAACCTTTCTAGCCTTCGTGCTAGGAAATATGCTTATCTTCAGCATTCAAGTGTTTTTATGACCATGGATGAACTGAGAAGGTTGTCTAGGAGAGTTAGACTGCTTGATTTTCTTTCATCTTTAATCTTTTGCAGAATATTGTTGTTATGCAACTGTAATTTCTTCATTTACACAATAACTGTATTCCTTTTCGAGGCCATATATTCATTTTGATGATTGAATATGAGTAGACCGAGAGAAAAATATGATTCTTGGCACTGAAATTGATTGCCTCATTCCTAACAGCAGGCATCCCTTCATTCCATTTTAAACTAGCCTGGCCTGGCCTGATGATGCTTTCAGTCAACAGGGGAATGATTCTTCTATGAGACATTGGCCCTGAAATTTTCTGAGCACGTTTGTGATCCATTTTCAGGAAAAACCCACTAAGAAAAATAGGGCAGCTGTCAAACGCCAGGAGCAAAGCTTAAACACAAGCATTCCTCTGGATAGTTGAGATTGGCATTTAAGGAAAGGGACTGGTTCAGTATTTCCTGGGCTATAAACTCTCAGTCCACCCCAGCTCTTAGAATTTTGTTTCTCTACATTCAACCCAAACTGGCTGGCAGCGGAGCAGGAGCCAATCAGCGACTGTGTGAACTACCCAATCAGGGAGGAGGGAGGAGGGCGCTTCCTGTGTCATGGTGCCGCACTGAGTACCGTGCGTGCAGTGCTGAAAATTCCCTCCTGACTAGATCGCCCTTTTCTGTAATTTCTATGGGCTCTCAGCTACATTCAAAGGATCCTGGGAGACCCTCAATCCACGCAATGGTAACGTTGTGGGACGGAAGCTCGGATGGGATGGGAACTGTTGTGTTCTATGGAAGTGATCGGGAACAGCTGTGGCAATCTACAGCTTCCCTGCTTAGCTCCAGATACCGAAGTCTTTTTAGTCTTTGGTGCTGTATCAACATCCGTAAAACTTTCCCCTTTGTTCAGGGAGGGAGGGAGGGACAGTTCTGTGTCCCCAGCATACAAACACCATATTGTGACAGTGCTATTACAGGTTCTTGCTATGTAATTAAGGCTGGTCCTGAGCTCACTGTGTAGCCCATGAACTCACAGCAGTCCTTGTGTATCAGAACTCGCGGCAACCGTTCTAACTCCGCTTCCCAAACGCTGGGATACAGGCGTGCACCTCCACACCTGGCCACCTAGAGTACCTACCTTCGTGGTTGTTCCCAGGCACTGCGGTATCTCCACCAGTCTACAGAGATCGGGAGCTTCAGGATATCCTTAGCTTTCCTACTCAGCAATGAAAAATTATCACTTTATTTATTTTTTTTAATCATCACTTTAACTTTTTTTTTTTTTTGGCGGAACCGGGGATTGAACTCAGATCCTTGTGTTTGCCAGTCAAGCGCTTTTCCTACTGAGCCATCTCCCCGGCCCCCATCATTTTAACTTTTTACATGAAACAGCTACTTGCAGTTGTGTTAACTGCATGAACAGAGCCTGTGGTCTCACAACACGATACCATCAACCAAAGGAAGGATGTTAGGACGGATAGGATTGGGAATATTTAGAATAGCTCCGTGATTTTTGGAGGTGTCCCTAGTGAGTGACCCCATAGGCACTTGGTGCAGAGCTAATTACAAAGAGGCAGAATATAGTAACTACTCAGTAGTTTTGTGGGGATCCATCCCGGATGCCTCTGGATTGAAAACAACTGCTTGGAACTCAGGTTCTTTTTTTTTTGGTGGAACCGGGGATTGAACTCAGGCCCTTCCACTTGCCCTGGAAGCGCTTATTGCACTGAGCCATCTCCCCGGCCCCTGAACTCAGGTTCTTAACCTGTGTCCTCAGTATGCAGGGATAAAAAGTGATGTCAAGTCCAGTCTGAACTGCAAGTGAAACCTCTGAAGTAGGTATAGATTCCCATAGATAAGTACATTGGGTATTTGAGTGAATAGAATAAAAGGGATTTTTGAATAGGCAAGAGTAAATGGGAGGGCTGGTGAGATGGCTCAGTGGTCTAAGGCACCTACTTGGAACAAGCTTGGCAAAGCACAGGGACCACGGTTCGATCCCCCAGCACCACATGCCAGCCAGTCCGCCCCCTGGTGGACTGAGCTGGCCACACACACACACAAATAAATAAATTTTGAAAAAAAAAAAAAAAAAAAAAAAAAGAGTAAATGGGAATGAAACAAATAGGAGAGCAGGGGATTTGGGAGGGTAGCAAATATCAACAATTATAGCAGTTTGTATGTACAGAAGTCAGGTTTCTAGTATGGAAATAAAGGAAAGATTCTCTGCTGGCTTGGTCTGAGATTAGGTCAAAAGTCACAGACCTAAAGAAAAGAGAACTTAGTAATAGATAAATATTTCTTCTGCGGCTACTTGTCAGCTTAGGTAATCATTTTTGAAGCAAAATTAGAAATTAGGAAACTGGCCTTATTGTAGGTGTATAAGTAGGGTCAGCATCATCACTGAAGAGGCAGTAGTATGTACCGTAGGAAGGGTTTTCTGTTGTATACAAAAGATTTTAAGGTGTGTTTGATCTTTTTCATTGTACAGGGAGTGGACTCAGGAATTTTACTCTAGCTAAAACCCCCCAAGTTTATTGTTTGTTTTTTACTTCTTGTGTCCATATCTTATTAAGTTGCCCAGGCTTGGGAGAAAATTTTACAGTTTACACTTCTTGATTGTTGGGAATACAGCCATGTGCCACCTTGATAGTTTAACATTGGGATGCATCACTCACCATGATTTACCAAGATTTCAGTGCTTGGGTAAAATAAACATCACTGAGGCCTGGTGGTGCACATCTTTAACACCAGCCACTTAGAAAACTTGACAAGAGTATGAAATGAGCAAGGCCAGGCAGGATACCTGAGCAAGACACTTTTTCAATATGGAATATTTTGGAGTGTACTGCTATGCTAGAGTAATCTGTCTAATGTGCATGAGGCCCTGAGTTAAGTCTCTAATAATGAAGAGAAAATGCAAAATTATTTAGTGCAAATCTTAACTTTCAATTTTGATATACTCATTTTTCATACTAGTGCTACATTGTACAATACCTCCTCATGGCAGTGAATAACAATAATGTCACTGTTCAGAAACAGGACAGCAAGTGTGAACATCTAGTTGTTTACAGTGTACTCTCTTCAAAAACATGCATGAAACATTTAGTGTTTTATTATAAATTTTGCTTTGTGTTACATAAATTTCCCCTGAAGCACATCAAGGCATAGTCATTAATCAAGGTTATTTATTTATTTATTATTTTTTATTATTTTTTTTGGTGGAACGGAGGATTGAACTCAGGCCCTTGCTCTTGCCAGGCAAGCACTTCTTCTACTGAGCTATCTCCCTGGCCCTGTTAATCAAGTTTAAAGGATCTACATCTTTTTTTTTTTTTTTTTTTTCAGAACCGGGGATTGAACTCAGATCCTTGTGTTTGCCAGTCAAGCGCTTATCCTACTGAGCCATCTCCCTGGCCCCCAAGGATCTACATCTTAACTATGATGTTTGTTTATATTCTGTGCCTTTTCAGCACATTTTATCTTTACTTATGTTTGGATTAGTGAAGATGTTTTCCCTTTCAAACTTAAGTAGCATCTGTAGAATCATTCCTTCAACTCTTCATGTGGCTCTCTGTAGAACATGACCCTTACCATGTTGTTTCTTTTTGACTACTGTATTAGTCACTTTTTCCTGAGCAATTTTTTTCTAATAACAGTATAATAAATGTTAATACCAGTATAATTATTACTCACTTTTTACTGTATAATAACTATAACAAATATTTCTGCATTATAACTGCTTAGAAAAGGGGAAATATTCTGGGATTTTTTTTCTTTGCTTTGTTTTCATTTTATTGTCATTATGAAGAGCTGTCACACTCTGGCTACATTGTTTGGATTAAAGCACCAGAAAAAGGGGATGGGATGGAAATTACCAATGAAAAGATACAGGGCTGAGTAGTTAGAGCATTAGCCACCAACTATCTTCAAGATTGAATTGAAAACATTTCCATTTCTAGTTTACTTCTTCCTGATTATGGGAACCCTTCTGACTGCTTTAACCTTGATCATCATCCTTTCTTCACTGAAATTACTCAGTCCGCAAGCACTTTACCATTGAAGACTGTGTCTGTGCTCTATTATCATACATTTAGGAAGTGTGCATTTCCTAAGTGCAAGACATATTGAGCTCTACATTATTTTATCTTCGTAATGATCCCATGAGTTCCACTTCTGTTTGATATAGTAGTAGTTCCTGGAGAATCATCTGATAGAAAAAAAAAATTGTTGTGTTCTCATTTGACACAGCTAAAATGAAACAAAAGACATTTGTGTCTTCAGATGGAGAACTGGTTTCCTGTGGTGGGCTGCACACTCCACGGGGTCATTTTAGTTCCTTAATTTATCCTATATTCTTATTGGCTGTCTGTGTCTATTATTTCTATTGTTCAGGAAGACTGAATTATGGTGTACTCACCAAATGCTGTGTCCAAAAAGTCATGTCATCATGGGCTGGCTTAGGAATTCTGGAAAAGAAAGTGATGAGCAAAGTCAAGAGCTTAGAAGACATGAAAGGGGGGCTGGGGAGATGGCTCAGTACAATAAGCACTTCCCTGGCAGGCGCAAGGGCCTGAATTCAATCTGTGGTTCCGCCAAAAAAAAAATAAATAAATAAAATAAAATTTAAAAAAAGAAAGTTCAATATGATGACTAAATATTTTTTAATATACACAGATGAAATTTGAATATTGCACTTTGTGATCGTGTCCAAAAAGTCAGGGATAATTTGTTTGGGTGTGGTGTTGTTAACAACTACATATCCTTGCAGGTAATCTTTGTGAACTCATTTGATTCTATACCTACAAGTGTTATTGGTGCACAGTAAACAAAGTGTCCATCAGCTTACATAAATGTGAAAAATTTGGCAGCTGTCTGCAGTAATGAGGTTAAGTATGACTTCATTGTCTGATACCTGATTGTATGAAGTTTGTTGTGGCTGATTAAAGAACATGGTCTGAGAAACACAGGATTTGAGGAAGACCCAGAAAAGTTGTAGAATTGCGGTGTGCTTAGGTTGAACTCTGGTGAGCTGCCAGATTTGGACTAATTTTGAAGCAAACATAAACAGGGTAAATGGTTGCACACAAGGAGAGATAAATACAAGTGATTTTATTAACCATACCTCCAGCAAATATATAGGGTAGTTTCTGTGCCTACAGCAAAACCTTCAGTTCTGGAGACAGAAAGTGTGTCTCTGATAATTCCATTGAATTCTGGTACTGTTTCATAGTTAAAGTCTGAATACACAAGTATGCTTTTGCAGTTCTACTAGAATTCTTTTAGATCTTAGGCTACTCAAATTTGTGTTCCAGACTTACCTTTTTTTACCCAGTGTAGCCAGAGAGACATTCTCATAGTCCACCCTCCTGTTCTTTTGTTCTAATGTCTGGAATGAGTCTTGCAACTCAGGACAGCTGTTAACTTTTATACATATTTCATTGTGCGGAGGAAGAACAGTGTGGACCTTGTATACTGTATCTGGAGATTTCAAAGTCTTTATGCATCTGACTGAGTACTAATCAACTCTAAAATTATGGTTAAAACATAGTGTAAAGGTTTCTGAAGAAGGGTTTATTCTGCAGAAATTTAATTAGCTCTTTGTCTTTAGCTCGCTGTCAGTTTCATTTTCACAGATCCAGTGTGGACACTCAGTTTTTCAACACACTGGATAACCAGAAGCAAAATTGCTTTTTTTTTTTTTTTTTTTAACATTT